ACTTATTTTTTCTTTTTTTCATTTTTCATTTTTCATTTTTTTTTCATTTCTTCATTTTTCATTTTTATTTATTTTTACTATTCCTTTTGTTTTTCAAGTTGCGAACATCTTTCAAATGTGTAACTTTTTTTTAAATTCATGTACATTTTTTGAAATCATGCATATTTTTTAAATTCGTGTACGTTTTTCTAAATCCCAAAAAAATTCGAACCTATGAATTTCTTTTGAAATTGTGTACATTTTTATGAACTTGTGAACACATTTCTGAACCAGCGAACATTTTTTGAAATTTGGGAATAATTTTTAAAATCCAAGAGCTTTTTTCGATTTTGATGTACGTTTTCTTGAGTTCATGATTTTTTTAAATCTACGGACATTTTTTGAATTTGGGAACAATTATTGAAATTCTCAAAAAAATTGAATGTTTTAAAATTGTGAATATTTTTTTAAAAGTCATGAAAAAATGGAATCCGTGAGGATTTATCATTTCCCAAACATTTTTCAAATCATGAAAACATTTTTTGAATTCACGAAAAAAACAATAACAAAGGGGCGTCCTACCCCGCACATGGGTCGGCCCGTAGGTCCCCTCCAAAACCAGCGTACTCCTCCTATATAGAAAGAAGTTCATTTTTCACCCCAAAATGTAGCTTGAGGGACAAATACCTCCCTGAACTCAAATTTGGTACGATTTTAACCCCCAAATTATTAAAACCAGGTAAATCTCCCCCTCAGATGGTTTTGCCTCAATTTTAGGCGGTTTTGGGGGCAGAAGTGTGACGTGGCATGGTATTTGGGTGTGCAGACATAGTTTGTTAGCGACGGCAGCAATCTTCATGGTCTAGGAATAGATCGACGCACAGTGGGACGGGCTGCCGGCGCCCCTGATGCTTTGCCACCCGCCGTTCGTCTCCCACCGGTTGTCGCTCCAGTCTGTGACCGCGGGTAGGCGGCTCATCCTCGTCGTGCGGTTATTAAAACCGGAACCGGAGCACAACATCACGGAGAAGAAACTCGGGGTCGATGGGCTTGCCGAGGAGGCGTCAGCAGCGCCGCGAACACTAGAGGGATCTCAAGGGAGGCAGCAGAGGCGTCGGGGCTCCACAGAGCTAGGGAATCAGGCGCGCCGGCGGCAGATCCAAAACGAGGAAGACGACGTTCCCGCTGTAATTCAGGGGGCGACTCGCACAAATTGCTTTGCGAAAGTAGGCGAGGGAGGCGTGGCAGAGATGCTTGACATGGCAGTGTGGCTCAAGGTGGACGGTGGACGCGTGGGCGGCAACGGCGGCGGCGCTGGCTGCAGCACGGGCGCGTGCGGGGCATGCGATTCCCGTCATGAGAGGGTGTCAGAAGGATGGGGGCCTGGGGGGAATGGGAAGGAGGGGCTGGGGCATCTGGGGCGACGTTGTAGCACCTCGGTGGGGAGCATCGAGGGCCATGGCTGTCGATGAACGACACAGAGGAGAGATGGAGGGAGGAAGAAGATGACGTCTTCTCCCAATACCACCAAAATTATAACAAAACCGCTCTAGGGTTAGATTTATCCGGTTTTGAGAATTTCAGGGTTAAAATCATACTAAAATAGACTTTGGGGTGGTATTTGTCCATTGAGGCACATTTGAGGGTGAAAAATGAACTTCTTTCTCCTATATAATAACTGGGCTTTGCCAGGGCCGGTTCCAAAAGACTCGCCTCGGAATTGTAGCCCATCGCGGTCGCGTCGTACGTTACAACGGGTTGACCCGGCGCTCCCGTCCAATCCAATCCAAATCTGCTTCCGCAAGCGACCCACCAAGCCGATCTCTCTTCTCTCCTGCGCTGCATCTTCCAGCCCCCAACCAGACCACCACCAACCTGCGACGACGATCCGCACGCGAATCCACCTCGAGAAACCCTAGCAGTCCCGGCCCGGCATGGCCTACGTGGACCACGCCTTCTCCATCACCGACGAGGACGACCTCGTCGGCGGGGCCATAGGGGGCCCGCGCGGCGCCCCCGTCAAGGAGATCGCCTTCGCCGCCGCCCTCCTCGCCTTCGGGGCCCTCGGCGTCGTCGCCGGCCTCTTCATGGCCGCCAACCAAGTCGGCGGTGACACCGCGCACGGTGAGATCGAATCTCCTTTCACTCCTCTCCGCCTCCATTTTCTTCTTTCCCTATATGCCTGTAAGAAGAATTGTTACTGCATCTAGGACCCTGAAGTTGCTGCAATTTTCTAACTATTGCTGTATGAGTATCTTAAGAGCTACTACTAGTAATTCATGGCTAGAAGTAGTATTTCTAAGGTTGTGACTTGTGAGAGAGGAATTGATTGAGGTTTATTTGGCTGAGACATAGTATTTACTCCGTAGCAGTTGTTTGGGAGCTCGATAGGTGACTTATCTTTTTGGTATATATGAGTATGACCAGGTGATTGCTGAGAAATATATAGGCATTTGTAAGGCCTTAGGAAATTTTATAGGTGTGCATGAGATGCTTGCGTTTTGTGAGGTTTCTAGTTGCGTTTTGTGAGGTTTTTAGTACTTTGGGCACAAATTAGGGGTGCTTGTGTTCAAACCGCACAATGTTCATAGTGAAGTGTTCCAGTAAAGCCAGCAGTGAGAACTATGGAGATTGGGTACTAAGAGCTTCTCATCACCACTACGAAGTGTAGATTATAGTAGGTTATTAAAAAACAATCCCAATATTCCTCTCATCTCTAATATATGTGATCATGCTGTGGCTTTATGGTAGGATGTCAGTTGTACATGTGAAACTGAAAAATAAGATGTTTTAATTTGCAAAACAAAAGCTTGGAAATTTTGCTTGCACTTTGACTCTCATTTTAAGTATTGATGCAATACAGCTCTTTCAGCAGCACTCATGAATATATCTGCTTGAATAAACTTTGTCTATAATTGCCGCTGGAATTTTTCCCCTTACTCAAACATCTGCAACTATTTTGTTGGAACAGGAATCTTCTTCATGGTTTTGGGCATTGTAATGTTCATCCCTGGATTCTACTACACAAGAATTGCCTACTACGCATACAAAGGATACAAGGGCTTCTCTTTTTCAAACATCCCACCAATCTAAAGAACAGGTGTTTGCAAACTCGTTCGGGTCCTTCTGTCCAATGGCTCTACTGATAAAGCAAGCAGCCTTGTTGTTCTCGTTGATCGTATGTATACATTCCTTCTGCTTTGTAGAATGAACTACTGGTAGATTTGTGCATATAAATGCTACCATAATCATGTATTATGGTGTAGTGGGCAGAAAGGTTGTCAACTGTGTGATTATGTTGAGTTGCTGGAGTGTGCTGCCTCCCATGTCTGAGAGGAAGAACATTATGTGGAATATGTTACTGTGTAGTAAGATCTTTCGCTGCCTGCATTCTCTGAACTGTTTTTATGCGTTCTCTTTAGCAATCTATGTGCCTTTTCATCTCATCCGAGTAAGATGGCTCAACTGCATAGTAAATGTTTCTTATTGTGGTGGTCATTATCAATTCCAACTGAAGTCAGAGGCACAAAGTTGTTTCTAGTTACTGTGATTTGCTCAGCTCAACACCGCAAGTGTTTTTTGTGTTATTCCATTCATTTTTGTCCCTAAACAAAGTCGGTTAATGCACAATTAGAGCACTAATGATGATGTATCACAGCTTCTTCAGCCTTTGATGCTACAAGGATTTATCTTATCCGAGCACATCACCACTCTTCTTCCAGGTTCAAATGTTTAGGTTCAGGCAGTGGTTCTTGCCTTGACTGTATACGTACGTTGCTGAAATTCTGTGGGTTCAAAAAGAGAGAGAGTTTATATCCGACGATATAAATACATTTTGATGAGATGAAAAATTAACCAAGTTACAAACTTATTTACATCCCAAAATAAATGTCTCAAACTTAGTACAATTTTATACTAATAAAGATACAAAGTTAAGACATTTCTTTTAGGGCGGAGGGAGTAGTACTAAAACTGTCAAGCTATTGAGCCACACCATTAGCCTTATTGTAACAATATTTTAAACAGCACGTTCCCGATCATAGTAGATTGCTTCTGCTCAAAAATAACACTGCCCAGGTGCTTTCGGTGTTCCATGGTTGAACTTCCCTGCTACCGGATGATCAGACGATTGCATGAAATGAAATTCAGTGATTCAGATGTTTGCAACTAAGAATCTTACTCCTATGGCTGTCTGGTCACACAAAATTGTACCGTATGTAGTCCACATTAAAATATCCAAAGCGTTTCATATTTATTACTCCCTCTCTCAGCTCTCTCAGCACCTACATCGTCAATTTGACCCACCTAATACAAGTCATATATTATAAAATTTTCAAAACATATAGTTTATGTGTTATATAATTTATATTAGGGTGATAAAATTGGCAACCTAGATATACACGTAGGTCTTATAAACTGAGACGGAAGAAGTAACAGAGAGAGTACTAAATTAATACTCCGTATTATATATATTCCATTTTTACCGTTCATCCAAGAAAATTCTCATTAACAGTGGCGTGAGGGATAGCAGAGCTACTAGTTTTTTTGTTCACTTTTGTAGCATAAAAACAGAATTTTCATCTACCATAAAAGGGTGCCAATCGTTAGACGTGTACATGATTATTCATGGAACCGTTGAACCTCATCTGACCATTACAATTAGAGACAGTAGATTCAATTTTGTCGGCACAATTTCGGTGAAATTGACAGGGAACATAAGAACTAACATTTAATTGTCAACTGCAACCGGACAAAGGGCTAAACACAGCTCAGCCATGTCCGTTGCTATGTCTGTGAAGTGCTGCGAGTCCATTTAATTAAGTTCCTCCTACGTTGCTGAAGATGCCACCATGTTTTTTAATAAAAACTAAAATATTAAAGATGCAGATCTGACGAATTAAGGTCACTACGTGATGGTCAGCCTGTTTGAAGAAAAAAGATGCGACGAAATCAAACAAAATGAAGAAATACTTGCAAAATCGGAGATCGATTGGGGGGAAGTATGGCCGCTTTAAATTTGGATGGGGCAAGAGCACACGACGCGCCCATCCAATCGTGAAGCGGCCGTCCGTCTCTCTCGGCACTTTGTGCAAAGGGCAACTCGTCCATGGATACAACCGAGCACCCGTTCGTCTGAGCCGTCTCAAAACAAATGTAAAAAAGTTGCAACCTTTCAATCAACGATGGAACAAGATGCACACGATGAAGTGAAGTATCGCCAGATATTGTGGCTTGGAATTAAAAGAAGATGGATCTCCAAACAATCTTCTCCTGGCTATCAATCTAGGCTCCATGCGGCAGACAGGACGCCATTGAACGGCGCCTGCTGTTGACTCATGATATAGAGCCCAAACACATCACAATCTACAACTAAACAGAATCAAAAGGGAGAAACATCCATCGAGGTAGATAGATGGATCCACAAAACAAGCAGCATCGATCCGAATTCCACAAGAAAAAGCAGCATAAATAAAACAAAGGAAAAGCAAAGCGCAATGTGAAAGAGGAATTGTTGCGGCGGCGGGATGACGAGGGAGGGGGAGATAGAAGGGATGGTTTTAGGGCTGGTGAAGCCCCTTGCATTTTATAGCTGCGGTCCTGCACACACGACCTATCAGCGGTTGACACGTGAGCCGGGTTACAAGACTCTGACTGGGCCTTTTACCAGCACATGGTGCCACGGCCCAACATACATTATTCCAGGCCGATATTGCTTTTTTTTTACAGCGCTCTGATTTTATCGCGGGAGGGACGATAAAATCAGAGCCCAACATGAACTTTTTCTATCATTGATTGTAAATTTGTAGGTAGCTTACCAAGTTGACCCTGCTGATCAAGGAGATTAAAATGCGGCAGCATGCTTTCCGTCTTCCAAGTTTTATTTGTAAATTCAGAAAAAGTTTTATTTGTATTTTTTAAAAGTTTATTTTTAAATTCAAAAAAAATATTTGTAACCATTTTTCTACAAGAAAGCCTTCTGGCGCACTTTATTGGAGTAGTAAACTTTACAGCGTTCAAGAGCTCATCCAAAAAAAAAACTTGAAGGATTACATCCGAGGAGATTACATAATTTGAAACAAAAGATAATGAGCTAACTTGTGCGCAACTTGATTAGCTCCCCGCAGATAGTACTTGAAAGAGGTCGATCCAATCCTCCCGCGACAAGGAAGATTTCTGCTAGGACGGCATTATATGGACTCCAAATTTGGATGATTCATGTACATGACTGAATGAGCTCCATGCAGTCAGATTCGACCGTCATTGTTGAACATCCCAATCTCTCTAGAAAATCCAAGCCTCCCGACATTGTATAGCTTCAGGCGTAGTGGCATCCATCACACGATCAATGCGCCAAGTTGAGCCCACCAAAGCCTCACCACGATTGCTTTAGAGAACCACCGCCACTACACCTGAGCTAGTCTTGAAGAAACAGGCAGCACTTCGTCGTCAATGAAGAAGATTTCCGTGAAAACTAGAGAGAGATTAGCCTAGCGGCGACCCCGGCTAATTAGGAGTCTAATTCTATTAGACAAATTAGACAGAGAGAGAGATTAGAGCGTAGCTATACGGGAGGTCTCCTCCCAAGATATGATGTGCTATAGGAGGAGCCCTCCCACACACACATTTCACTAATGGAGAAATGACCACGCACAACTTTTATTGGTGGCGTGCCATTTTCCACCAACACAAACGCTATTTTTCAAATAGTTGTGGCGTAGACATATTTGGTGCGACATTGATATGACCTTAGTGCTCGCGTAGTATTTTTTGTCGTGCCATAGATATTTGTTGAGTTTTTTTGTCAATCTTCTAACTGCCCTATCCAGTAAAAAAAACCTAAGCCGATTCACACCCCATCTTTTCACTTCGTCCCCCCTCTCGACCAGCGCCGCCGCCACCTCCCGGCCATTTCGCTCGTCGCTGCCGCCACCTCTGGATCAGCAGGTGAGATCCTCTCCACTCGCGCATCTTCTCGCCTCCCCTAACATCTACCTCATCCGCAAACGCCATGGAATTTATGGAGTCTGTGGATTTGGTTTATTTGTGTATAAAATTAGTACTGTAGAATTAGATTTAGGAGTACCTGATTATACTTAATAGATGTTGATTTATTAGTGTAGAAACCCATTTTCTACTTAGGGTAGAATTTTATTAGTGTTCAATATGTTTTAGTGTAGAATCTGAAGCTACTCTTTTGTGTTGATTTAGTAGTGTAGTATCCGATTATACTTATTGGAAATTGATTTATTTGTGTAGAAACCACTTTTGTACTTAGGGTAGAATTTTTGTAGTATTTAGTATGTTTTAGTGTAGAATCTGATGCTACTCTTTTGTGTTCATTTAGTAGTGTAGTATCCGATTCTACTTGGTAGAAACTGATTTATTTGTGTGGAAACCGTTTTTTGTACTCAGTGTGCATTTTTTTTAGTGTAGAATCGGATTCTACTCTTTGTGTTGATTTAGTAGTGTAGTATCCGATTATACTTGGTAGAAATTGATTTATATATTTGTGTAGAATGGCGCAACCACCACCACCATGTCGACTGGTAGTGTTCTATTATGACCCACACCTAAATTCATCAATGCATACTAGTGTGAACAAGCTTTCTTTTGATTTGTGTAAGCTATGCATATAGTTCAAATGTCAAATGCATGGTATAATGACATTAATAGGTACTAACCTTCATATAGTTCAATTGTCATATATGTTTTATAGTTGGTGTTGGGACTTGTCATTATTTTGTAGTTGGCGTTGACTTGGCATATCCAATGCTGGAGTCAACTAGAGGAGATATACGATGTGGAGATGCTCAACCGCGAGCTCTTAGAGTCTCATCAATGTACCATCAAGGCCCTGCAGGAGGCGAATGCCTCGCTGAAGGCGGAGACGGGTCAGCTGCTGAACGAGAAGGTTGATCTCTTCAGCAAGACTGTTAGTGTCAGTGTCAAAACCAGCAAACCTCGAGTAGGGGGGGCCAAGCTGTGAGATTGGATCGATGGTTAACAAGACACAAGGGACACGAAGCTTTTACCAAGGTTATTGGAAGGTTATGTTTGGACACCGGATCAGATGAGTTCGGGCATTTACCGGAGTACCGGAGGTTACCGGACCCCCCCCCCCAGGGGGTCAATGGGCCTTCATGGGCCTTAGTGGAAATAGAGGGCAGCAAGGGAGCTGTGGGGCGCGCCCCCCTAGGCCCAAACCGAATTGGTTTAGGGCTTGGGGGGGCGGCCCCCTCTTTCCTTCTCCTCTCCTCCTCTTTCCTTCCCCTCCTAGTTGGACTGGGAAAGGGGGAACCTACTCCTAGTAGGAGTAGGATTCCCCCCTTGGGGCGCACCCTATGAGGCCGTCGGCCCCTCCCCTTGCTCCTTTATATACGGGGGCAAGGGGGCACCCTAGTACACACAAGTTGATCTTTTAGCCTTGTGTGGTGCCCCTCCACAGTTACACACCTCGAACGTACCTTTGCGGAGCTTAAGCAAAGCCCTGCGCCGGTAGCATCATCACCACCGTCACCACGCCGTCGTGCTGACGGAACTCACCCTCGGCCTCAATTGGATCAAGAGTACGAGGGACGTCATCCAACTAAACGTGTGCTGAACGCGGAGGTGCCGTACGTTCGGTACTTGGATCGGTTGGATCGGAAGACGTTCGACTACATCAACCGCGTTATTGAAACGCTTCCGCTTTCGGTCTACGAGGGTACGTGGACAACACTCTCCCTTCTCGTTGCTATGCATCTCCTAGATAGATCTTGCGTGATCGTAGGAATTTTTTTGAAATTACCGCGCTCCCCAACAGTGGCATCCGAGTCAGGTCTATGCGTAGATGTTATATGCACGAGTAGAACACAGAGAGTTGTGGGCGATAATAGTCATACTGCTTAGCAGCATGTCATACTTTGATTCGACGGTATTGTTGGATGAAGCGGCTCAGACCGACATTACGTGTACGCTTACGCGAGACTGGTTCTACCGACGTGCTTTGCACATAGGTGGCCGGTGAGTGTCTGTTTCTCCAACTTTAGTTGAATCAAGTGTGGCTACGCCCGGCCCTTGTTGAAGGTTAAAAGAGCACACTTGACAAAAAATCATTGTGGTTTTGATGCGTATGTAAGAACGGTTCTTGCTAGAAGTCCGTAGCAGCCACATAAAATTTGCAACAACAAAGTAGAGGACGTCTAACTTGTTTTTGCAGGGCTTGATGTGATGTGATATGGTCAAGGCATGATGTGACATAAATTGTTGTATGAGATGATCATGTTTTGTAACAAAGTTATCGGCAACTGGCAGGAGCCATATGGTTGTCGCTTTATTGTATGCAATGTAATCGCCATGTAATTGTTTTACTTTATCACTAAGCGGTAGCAATAGTCGTAGTAACAATAGTTGGCGAGACGACAATGATGCTACGATGGAAATCAAGGTGTCGCACCGGTGATGATGAAGATCATGACGATGCTTCGGTGATGTAGATCATGAGCACAAGATGATGATGGACATATCATGTCACATATTTTGATTGCATGTGATGTTTATCCTTTATGCATCTTATTTTGCTTAGAACATCGGTAGCATTATAAGATGATCCCTTACTAAATTTCAAGGTATAAGTGTTCTCCCCGAGTATGCACCGTTGCTATAGTTCATCGTGCCGAGACACCACATGATGATCGGGTGTGATAAGCTCTACATTCACCTACAACGGGTGCAAGCCAGTTTTCCACACGCAGAATACTCAGGTTAAACTTGATGAGCCTAGCATATGTAGATATGACCTCGGAACACTGGAGACTGAAAGGTCAAGCGTTAATCATATAGTAGATACGATCAACCTAGTGATGTTCATCATTAAAAACTACTCCATCTCACGTGATGATTGGACATGATTTAGTTGATTTGGATCACGTTATCACTTAGATGATTAGAGGGATGTCTATCTAAGTGGGAGTTCTTAAGTAATATGATTAATTGAACTTTAATTTATCATGAACTTAGTACCTGATAGTATTTTGCATGTCTATGTTGTTGTAGATCAATGGCCCGTGCTACCGTTCCTTTGAATTTTAATGCGTTATTTTCCCTACTCTGAAACTACATTATTTTCCCTACTCTGAAACTACATTATCTGCCTAAATTTGTAGATCTCATTGGTTTAATTGTTGCTGTTACAGAACATCCACCTCCTACTGGCAATGCCTGAGAACCAAGGCGCCAAATCTTCATCACAGAGGGACAATACGTCTTCTTGCTACATTGTTGCAACATGCACTTTTAATAACTAATAGAACCCATAGAATCCAATGATTGCGGAAACTATGCAGAAAGCGCA